CCTGCTGTTCTGCTCAGAGAAGCTGGTGCACACAAGCCTTGTGAGCCAGCAAAAATGCAAAATGGATGGTTGCCAGGTCTGCTTCCTCAGTCCTTCAAGCAGCGTGTTTCTGGCTGGTGCTTTCCCTCACCACGCAAACGTGTGGAGAGAGGCAGAAGAACTCTCACTACGTTTTATTTACTACACCAACTTGTTCCTTCTGATGCAGACAGGATTAACTTAAATTGTGTGTTTTAAGAAATGATTTTTAAAACCCTACCTCCAGCACTTGTTAACTTGGCCCCTCTGAAATGTAAAAAGAATACATTTTGAAAATAGGAGCACACGGACTAAGTGATGTGTCCCCTTGGATTCTGGTGTGTTTGGTGTTTCTTCCATGGCATTTATCACTTTCTTGGGTCAGTGGTGTGTCCTTTATCTTACAAATCAGCTTCCAGCCTCCAAGAGCCTCAAGCTGGGACAGCAAGGCTCAGATTATAATTTACTGTCTCAGTTGTGCAGTGAAAATGCTGGATCAGCCCACTTGGATCTAGACTCAGCCTAGAGCCTGGGGTATCGGTGTCTTCCTCGCTATGCCTCCAGGGGCACCTTCCCTATAGGAAAGACAGGGCCTGGGCATCGGTGAAACGGCTTGAGCTCTGGCCTTTAACCTCCAACTCCAACAGCTGCCTAGAGACAATGCTACAGCACCCATTGCAGCAAGACATAAGTTCCTTTAGCAAACCAGTATAGGTCACGGTCGTGACCCCAGTCTTTAAAGACCAAGACGCCAGTCATTTGCTTTTGAAATTCAACTGCAAGTAACCTTATCTGTTCCTCTTTGTACCTTGTACCAAACAGGGTATTTTGAGTCACCAAGGAAAATGTTTCCAGGGAAAGAACTGGTACATGCATTGTCAGGTACCAGTTTATCCCTATAAAAGCCTCTGGGGTGACTGGGCTGAGATGGGAGGAGGGTGATTATCGCTTGAGATAAAACCAATGTCTCTGCTGAATATCTCATTACCCTCCTAAAATTATCGGGCCTACTTTGGCAAAGATTTTCTTCGTTCTTACATTTTAAATGGTGGTAGGTGTGGTTTCCTGCATTTTTGAAAGAGTTTTTTAGTACAGATTTTTTAGGGTGAAAATGGAATCTAGGTACCTTAATGAGAAGAGGAGGGGGAAAAAAACCAAAACCATAAATTAGATGTTATGATGGAGAGGAAAAAAATAAAAGAACTGCCACTACTTCCGAGGTTCTCCTGAAATTATAATACTGCTAGTCTTTCTGCAAACTTTGCTGGAAAGGTTGCCAAATGTCTTTGAAGGTGGTTTTTAATCTTCTAAAGGTATTTCAATTCAACTTTTCTAATTTGATGTAAACAAATGAAAATGGAAGTATCAGTCAGCGTTTTTCAGTGAAAAAATCTTCCTCTAGTTTGAGATATTTTTGTAAGGAGAATAAAAAGGCTGATATTCTGAAGAAAACAAATTTTTACCTTTGTCAGAAATGTTGAATTCTGCCTCTGTAATGAACATATTTGTTTTTACTGCTTATTTAATCCCTGGTCCACCAGCGGAAGAAGAGAGGGCTTCTGAAACAATCTTTCTTACTGTAAAAGGATTAAAAGTATTTATCTTGATTATGTTTTACGAGCATTTTAAAAACCCCCTTTCACTGGAACCAGGCTCAGACTACACA